CCAGGCTGGAGTCTCCACGGGGCCTTCCAGCTCCGAACGACGAGCCCAGAATTCCAACCTTAAGCAGGCTCTTCACTGGAATAGTCCTCCCATTAGGAGCTCCCCCGGTTAGAGCACAAGCACCTGTATTCAGGCTGCTCTGAAGTCACCACAGGTGGGCTTTGCTTTACCAAGCCCAGCAGGAAATGGGGCTTCTCTTTCTGGTTCTGGCCCCTACCTTTCTCTCCACTCCCTCAAGGCTGCAGTATTGGACCAGCAAACCTAGTGGCTCTCACCTCCCGCGAGTGCCAGGGCAGCTTCTCTTCAGTGACTTCTGGCAAGTTCAACACCGCCCCCTGGGCAGCTTCCTGGGCAGTTTTGCTGGCACCTGAGTAGTTTCCTGCTCGCAAGCCCTGACCTGCCTGACTTTGACCTCAGTGAGCTTTCACACCATCCAGAGGCTCAGCCACACCCTCCCCAACAAGAGCTGAATTTCAGCCTCAGAGGACACTCTCCCAAATTTATTCCTTTCTGTAGTATTTGGAGTTCTCGTTACCACTAAGTAGCCAATTCCTGTTAGTAGTTAATAATTCTTTAGAGTCCGCCTTCCCTGCTGGAGTTAGAGTGGTCCCTTTCTCCTAGGTGGGCTTATCCAGCGCTCACACACAGGCCTTCACACACGTGCCTGAAAATGCTGGGGCGAGGGCTCCTCCAGCGACTCCTTGCTCCTGCTCGGTGGGATTGCCCCCCCTAACCTCTGAGCACCCCGAGTCACCCCTCTCCACACCCCTGGCTCAGCAGCGTTCAGTCAGGAAAACAGAAACCGCTCTCAGCGTTCATGCAGGGAGGGACTCAACACGGGGACTTGGCGCTGTCTCGGCTTCACACTGCGGCCAGGTGATTCTGCTTCTGAAACGCAGTTCCCACTCCTTAATAGGGAGATAATGATAGTACTCACCTCATAGGATTCCTCCGAAAATTACGTAACATAATCCATGAAAAATTCCCAGTGCCTGGTGCACGGTTAGTGACCAATAAATAAATTATTAGTGTTCCTATTATAATCCTCTGATCGCTCCAGCACATCTGAGCAGAAGTGTCCCAAAACCACAATAGTCCGTAGCTGGGCAGCCAGGGAGGGAAGAAGACATTTCAGCAGTAAGACCCTCATCCCCAATTGAAGACTACCCTGGGTGGGTGGGGGCGGAGGGGAGGGGAGGGGAGGTGTAGGTTGGACGCGGTTTGGTGGCTCCAAGGTGCCTGCCTGCTGTCCTCAGCTGGAACAAACGGCATCCTGAACCTCCTTCACCCATACTGAGCAAAGGCCTCTCCTAGACACCTTTTTAAAATTCTAATTGAAAATGTAACATATGCACATTGTTTTTTAAAAAGTCAAAGGGTACGTACAAAACGCTATGCAGTTAAGAATGTCCGCTTCCCACCCCACACTCCGAACCCCTTAGCTCTCCTGCTCCGAGGCAGCCAGCGCGAACCGTTCTTAAGTGTCTTTCTAGGCATATATATATGTTTTTATGTTCTAATATATATGGGAGCACTGTTTTGCTTTTCCACTGAGCACTGTATTTTGGAGAGCATTCTATATCTGCACTGATGCATCTACCTGTTTGGATGTTTTCTTCAAGCTTATTCTTTTTAAAATCTGCATTCTATTCTTGAAATTAATACAGCGCTAATTACTTAACCAGATCCCTTCTGGCAGAAAGTTCATTTTTTTCCAGTCTTTTGCTGTTACAGTGTTGTAATAAACCTCTATGTAAATACTGCCTTCTTTCTTTTTTTGAGGTAGACAATCGTCTCACCTCTTAGAGTTGGAGCCCCCAAAGCCATCTTCATGGTCTGGTATTAAAACAACAGCGACAGGAAAGGGGATGGAAAACCTGCGCTCCAGTCCTGGTTCAGCCGCGAAGGTCCTTTGCACTTGGACACCAATCACTTCATCTCTGTATGACTCAGGTGCCTGCCTGCCAGGCAGCAATAATTGTACCTGCTTTAAATGACCTCCCAAGGGCATCCTGAGAATCAAATGTGCTCATGTACATGAAAGCCTGTGAGCGCTGTATTAATATACAAGTCTCTCCTCTGGTGATTTGCCAAAGCTACGACTGACATATTGCTCTATGGATGTGCCCACAACCTTCAGCATGGTGCCCGCTGCATCCAGTGCCCCTTCTAGGGAAACTGACCCCACGCACAACCCAGGCTGCGGTGCACTGCACCGTATGTCCCTGTCTTTCCACTTCTCCAGGCCAATGACTGGGCTGGCACCTTCCTGATCAGTAGGCTGCCCATGGCTAGAACGAAATGCTTTGCCCAAAAAGAGGCAAACCAGGTCGTTCTGATTCTTGCCCTTAGAAAAGTCTACTAGGAAACAGAGAGTTAGGACAGACACGACACAGAACACACAGAGAGTGGCCATGCGGCCAGGCCCATGAAGGGCCATGAGAAGCTGACATTGGGAAGAGGCAGAGATCCACATTCCCTGAAGCCATGAGGTAGGAAAATGTCAGGAAGGACGCGGGTGAGAAGTGAGAGGACACAGAGCAGCGGAAACACCAGAGCCAGCTGAGCCGTGACAATGCGTACCAGCCCTGGCTGCCGAATCCCGCACAGTCCCCCATTACCCAAGTCCCTGTCCTGTCTCCACTATTCTTTCGTGTGGCCTTACCATAATGGCCCTTCCTCTGGGCTCAGTGGAGGAAGGGGGGGCTCTATCCATGCTGCCAGGAGTGCCAAACCAACCCCACGCTTATGAGACCTACCTTCCTAGCTTCCTGCAGAGTCCCCTAAGGGCAGGTGTGTGAGAATCTCACCTTGGGACAGGGGAAACGAGAATCCTAAAGTCCACTTTGCATTAGAGTATATTGCTTTGCTCAATGAATGAATGCAGTTTCCTGGAGGCCCACCTCCTAGGGAAAGGGCAGGGTGGAGGAGAGCAGAGACAGAAATGAAGAGGCAAATGATGATCAGGTGAGACTTTGCTCATGCTGATCCTTCCTCCTGCCCAAATTCCACCCACCCTTTATGTCGCCTCATCCAGCAAACTCTCCCCAGCTGCTCCAACCACACGGTGCCGACCTTCTTGACTATGATGACAGGCTGCCTTTTGGGCCCCAGCCCTTCATCCCATCCGATAGCCACACTTACCGCCCTAGGTCTCTGAAGCTCCTCCCACTAAAGGAGCACCATCCTCTCCTCACCATCCTCTGGCTTTGGGTTTGGCCATACAAACATCTTACGTTATTGACCAAAAGCGATGGCATGCCAGGTCCAGGGCCTCTTGTGCTGCTTCCATTGCAATGAAAAAAAGCCCGCGCAGGCTAGCCCCCTGCTCCCAAAAGAGGACAAGGGACGTGTGGAACAAAGCCGCCTTGGCCAAGCCCCCTGGGTGAGCCCAGCCAAGCTCAGCCGACTCTTAGATGCCCGAGCTAAACAAATGTGTCCTGCTGTATGCCACGGAGATTCTATGGTGGTTTGATATACAGCGGCCGTAACTACCCGTAGCACTAACTGTACATTTCTGTTCTTGGTGATTCAAATAGCAGTTCATGATTTCTTTGTTTCTTTGAGCAGGTTAAAATTGCCAGATTTAGTGACTAAAAATACACGACCTCCAGTTACATTTGAATTTTAGATAAACAATGAATAATTTTAGTACAAGTGTGTCCCGTGCAATTTGTAGAATGTATTTATACTAAAAATTATTTTTCTAAAATCAAATGTAACTGGAAGCCCTATATTTATCTGGCAAGCCTACTCCTAGCGCTTGGGGCAGGAACAACATCTTACATGATAGCTACGAGATAGTTCCCGCGGACACCACCCTAACGCTGGGAGAGGAAAGTCATGGTTCAGTTAAAGATTTGCAAGAAGGTAGATCTTGAGCGCTTTCTTCTCTCTAGTGACAAATGCACCCCTTATAATAATGATATGATGGTTACCATTTACTTAGCCCCTGTGTACACAGGTAGTGGGCAAATACACATCTTATTTTTATAACAGTGCTGTAACGTAGAGAAGGAGCTAAATCCTTACCCCTTTCTCTTTCCATAATACAACCCTGCTTCCAGCTACCAAAATTGTTTGATGTGATTTTCACAAAACTGAAGATGGCAAGTGTATTCCCCAGCCCCTCAATCTCTGTGCTGGTCCCCCTCAATCCGTTCTATGAATAACAGGGATTGATTAATTTGCTAGGGCTGATATAACAAAGTACCACAGACTGGGTGGCTTAACCAACAGAAATTTATTTTCTCAAGTTCTGGAGGTTAGACATCCAAGATCAAGGTGTCAGCAGGCTTGGGTCCTTCTGAAGGCCATGAGGAAAGAATCTGTCCCAGGCCTGTGATGGTTAATGTGTCAACTTGACTGGTCCATGAGATGCCCAAATATCTGGCTAAGCATTATTTCTGGGTGTGTCTGTGAGGGTGTTTCTGGAAGAGATCAGCATTTGAATTGGTGGCCTGAGGAAAGCAGATTGCCCTACACAGTGTGGATGGTCATCATCTAATTCTTCGAGGGCCCACATGGGAAAAAAAAGGTGAAGGAAAGCTAAATTGGTTCTATCTGAGCTAGATATTGGTCTGCTCCCGGCCTTAGACTGAGACTTATACCAGCAGCACTCCTGGTTATCAGGCCTTTGGACTTAGATGGCTTTCCTGCCTTTCCTACTTGTAGATAGCAGATCGTGCCACTTCTTAGCCTCCAGAATCACATGACCCCAAGGGAGGAGGTTTCGAATGACGGAATTCTGGATTTCAAGTTCTGGAATCCTCATTTTCAAAGCAGTCTCTAGAGGTGGCAAAGGCCCTGCCTGCAGTTCTTAATCATGGCACCTCGAAGGTGTTACACCCTCTGTCAAAGGGGCCCTAGCAACTGGTAGAATGTGGATTATGAGGACAGGGGATTGTGATGGTGACCAGGCTGTGGAATCTGGTGAGGCCAAATGTTAGTCCCTCAAAAGATGTCCTTTGGCCCCAGTTGGCAGCATTGTGGTTTTCAGGATGACAACAGAGGACAGGGAGATGATGGAAGCCCGGGGGGCGGGAGAAAGCTGCCCAACCATCCCCAAGATGGTGCCTGATGACCCCATGTCTGAAGGGAAGTTGAGGGCTGCTTTGGTAAGGGGGTGCCTCATTTCACTGCCCCAGCCTGTCCCCCCAGGGGGAGGGAGAGTACTGTGAGGACATATGATAGGAGCTGAGTGTGATGAAATTCCAGAGAGCTGCTAAGGAGAACAGGTGATGTGCGCCCCATCCCCACAGCCGGCACCCAGCTGTGACCAGAAGCCAGGAAGCCCTGCATAAGACTGTGAAGCCACCTGAAGCTGACTGTGGTCTTTCCCATCTACCTCCCCGTTTGGGACCCTTTCTTCCCTCTGTGTATGGGATCCAGCTACTCCATAGCCCTTTTGTTGGTCCCCGTATATTCAGGTTCTCTCAACACAGACTCTGGGTTTCTTCCTCCCACTGTAGCCCCCAGAGGACTGGGTGTCTAGCTCTTCTCCGCAGTGGGTGGAGTAGGGGCTGGGGAAGTTACCTCAGCTCCGCAGTGCCTCCTCTTTCAACTGTAGGGTTTCACTCCTTTGTGCGAGTTTGCCCTCCCCCTCTTCTTAACTCAGGTCCTGATAACTCTGTGTAAGTGCATTTCTAGAAAGAACTCAGCCTAGATCTTTACAGCTCACAGCAAGCACTCCTTCAAACACTGCAGTCCACTGCGGCCTGGGGCTCTGGGGGTGCCCTGGGCTGGGTGGCCCCATTCTGACTCCTCACCATCCCTCCACTTCCCCTTGCCCCACCTCAGGAGCCAGAGTCCCCTAAGCCAGACTCTTCCTACGACTACCTGGAGGAGATGGAAACTTGTGAAGACAGAGGCTTCTCAGGGGCGCCTAAGTCGCTGTCCCCCAAGGCTGTCCCCACCGCCAAGGGCCAGGCGGGCGACGGACCTGAACTCACAGAGTGGCCCCTGGCCCAGGGGGCCCCAGGGCCCGCGCGCAGCGCCGAGATGGAGCTGGAGAAGGCGCGCATGGAGTTCGAGCTCACGCGGCTGAGGTGCCTGCACCAGGAGAACGAGCGCCAGCGCCTGCACGAGGCGGCCATGGAGCGGCTGCAGCAGCGGGCGCCGCCCCGCCTGGTAGGTGCCCGAGGGGCCCGCGGGCCCAGCCCGAGGGCCGGGGCCTGACTCGGGGCGAGGGGCCTCCGTCTTTGCAGCCCTCCCACGGGCTTCACCGCTGCATCCTGCCCGGCCCGGAGCCGGGCGCTCACTGCCCTGGAGCCTCACGCTGAGGGCCGGCCCTGAAAGGGGCTCCGCCTGGTCCGCCACCTGCCCCCGGCTTTCCTTCTCGGGGACAGTCTCCAGCATCCCCTGTGGCTGCATTTCCACCGCTCTCCATGCCCCTGCGTCTCTTCTAAGAGCTGCGATGCTTGGGCTAGACCCGGGATCCCCCTGCAGCCCGGCCAGGGGATTTGATAAAACCATTGCCTCCCTGACCAGGGCTGCGCGCACTCTGCTGGGTCACTCTGCCTTGTTGTCAGCCGAAGCTTAGACATCTTGGCAAGAGATGGACCGTTCTCCCCTGGTCTGTGCGAAACGGGGACGACATCGCCTGCCCGCGATGAAACGGGATGTGAAGGGCGCGGCACTGTGACCGACCGGGCCGTCGTTAGCGTTAAATAATGACAGTTGGTATTGTTTAGAGCAGTGTCCTCTGGGCTTTAAAATCAGACGTTAAAATCCTGGCTCCACCGCATAGAAACTGTGTGACACTGACATTGGGCGTGTTACTAAGCGCCTTGGAGCCCGGGCTTGCTCATCCGTAAGGTAGTGCCTACCTCTAGGGTCACTGTGAGGCTTCAGTGCGAGAGCGCCTGTGAGGCGCGCTGCGGTGAGCCTGGCGCCTTAGGTAAGCGCTCAATAAATGTTAGCTATTCCCATTTTTATGTACTCATGCAATTCACTCCTTGACCCAAATGCAACGTTCATCATTTTTCAGTTTTATTGGAATATAATGTATGAGCTACGCTTCCCAGCTCTGAGTCATGCTCAGTTCTGAGAAACTTGCCTTCTGCCTTTGTCCAAGTCATTGCTATAACCGCCGGGAGGGTCTGACCTAAAGGAAGCACCACTGAAGATCTCCCCACAGGCTCCATTCATCACCGCCCGGGTTACAGCTACCCAGCTCGCCTTTCTCCACTTTGTCCAAAACAGTCTGAGACACACACTGTCAGATGGTTTCCCAGAATGAAGACATTACACTACCTGTAGCTTTCCTCCCTTGTTTTAAGAAAATGGGGTTCATTTTGCATGATTTGTTCTCAAAGAGCACACGCTGACTTCTTAGCAATGATCACTTTTTTCTTGCTCACAAAACACCTCCTTAATTGTACACTAAGTGCTTTTCCTGAGCCAAGTTAAGCTAATTGAATGGGGATTTCCAGAATCCATCTTTTTCACCCCCTCTTTTAAAAAATCTAGAAAATATTTGCCCATCTCTAAGATTCTGGCACATTTCCTGATATTTTTGACATCTCACAAATAAGTTCCATTTCCAAACTTGTGGTTTTATTCTCAGTGTCCTGGGATAAAATCTTTTATAAGTTGGTATTGAAAGCAGGTACATGTGGTACTGCGCCTTGGGTTACTGGCTCCTCCTAACCATATTTACTTTCCCTTTTTGGTTGGATAATCTTTCTCCTCGCTGGATGAGGTGTAGAGTCCTATCTGCTTTCTACTCAAAAGATAGACCATCGAAAGTGCTTTCTAAAGTCTAAAAGGTTTCACAAATGCATGTTTTGTTATCAAAATCATACGTATTACCCATCAGCATTTCGGAGTGAAAACTGATGCAGACCACAGAAGGTGGCGGGAAGGTAAGTTCGCAGATCCAGGGCCACACGGCGCCTGCAGGAAAACACTAGCTCGGTCCAGCCCTCCGTCCCGCCAGAGCACTCGGCTTCCTCCTCGGGTCTCCAGCCTTCCTCCTAGAGTGGGCATGCCTGGAGTCATTTTCTTCCCCTTGGTTGGATTTAGTTGCCCTTGCATTTTATGTAGTGGTTTCAGCAATGCTGGGAACAAAACCCCAGTCTCTAGTAATAATTTACAAAAGGTTTACAAATAGTTTAAAAATAGTTTTACAGAAAGGTGGAGAGCTGGCTTGATATTTAAACTTCCTCCCCACTCTCTCTTTTTCTGGGCTGATGGGTGGGTAGATAAATTTCACTGTATTGAAAAATACCTCTGTGAGTGTGTTTCTAGCTAGTTTAAGGAATCACACACTCCCTGCCATCTGCCTGCTTACCAAAAAAGTGGCATGATTTTAAAAGATATTTTAAAGAATAAACTATGGCTGGTATCTTAACTACAGATCAAAATATTGTATCAGCTTTTGCCTTACTTATATGTCGATGCTAAAATGGGCTTTGTCAAACCTCAATTATATAGATTCTGGAAAAGAACAACACACAGGCAGAATCAGCCAGACAACACAAGCTGCTTTCCCCTACGCCCAAGACCCCGAGGGCTCAGGGAGGCCCCACCACCCAGCTCTCACCACCTGTCCAGGGGAGAGACCAAATCCTGGGCTGAAGCACCACAGACTGACCCCATGTGACATGGGCCAGGACCAAGAGAGTCAGAAACAGGCATTTGCACCCAAAGGATACTCTCTCATTGTGCTACTGTCCAGAAAACAAGCTGTTAAGTGTTCGGGCAAATCATGGGAGAACATGCCGAGGCCTGGCCTCCAGAGCTGGGGTCTCAGAGACAGGAGACTGCCTACCTGTGTGACTCAGAGGCAGGATGGCACAGAGACGGGAAGGCTGAGTCAGGAGGCAAGAGCAGGCTCAGGAAGTAAATGCCCACAAGTGCCCTCTATGTGCCAGTGACCTTGCTAAGAATTTCGAATTTCTTGCCTCTCCCTCCTAGTAATCCTGAGAGGTGGACACTTGCCTTCCCTTAGGCCTGCGGGGGTCCCGTTCAGGGAGGTGCAGGAGCAGGACCGCAGCCCGGGGCTGCCTGGCACCCGCTCCCTGGCTTTGCCAGCTCCACTCTCTTCTCTCCCCACAGTTCTCAGGAGGCTTCCAGGACCTCTTGCACCCCCAGAACCAGTTTGCCATGTTCCTGTACTGCTTCGTCTTTATACACATAATCTATGTCGCCAAGGAGATGATCTTCTTTCTCTTCTCCAAGCACTACCTGTTCTGCATCGCGGCCATTTTGCTCTGTTTGATTAAAATATTATGGTCATACTTCTAAGTGCCTTTGTTCTCTCCATCCCTGGGAACCTTCCTGCTAGAGTGTTACTGGGACATGACCCAAGTCAGCCCAAGCCGTCCTGCCCCCTCCCTCCCCGGCGCCTCCTGCCCCTACATGCTGCCTCCCTGCAATCAGACCTGGGTGTTAGAAACCGCTTGCTGTCAGCCTTTTACACCTTAGTGTGAATGACATGTTCAGGTCTTGTACTGAGCCTGAGTTCTCACTGAGGGTGGAGACGCTCTGTCCACTAAGAGGATGATTTCACAAGTTAGCAGGTTAGGGAAGCATCTGTAGAAAGAAAGGGCTTAGAAAGCCTTTCCAGAATCACAGAAATCATGCCATGACCAGGCTGGCTCTGGATCTATCACATCTACTCGCTTTCATAGTTCTCTGAGGGGTGGGGAGCTGTGGCAGGCTTGGGGTGGGCCCTCTAAAGATGTCCATGTCTCAGTGGACATCTTACATGGCAAAGGAGACTTTGAGGTGTGATTAAGTGAAGGACCTTGAAATAGGGAGATGGTCCTGGGTTATCAAGGCGAGCCCAATGTAATCACAAGGGTGCCGATAAGAGGGAAACAGGAAGGCGAGGATCGGAGAGGAGATGTGACCGTGGAAGCAGATGTTGCAGTGATGTGGACACATGAGCCAAGGACTGCAGGCAACCTCTAGATGCTACAAAAGGTAAGAAGATGGGTTCTCTCCTAGAACCTTCAGGAGAAATGCATCCCTGCCCATCCATGTCAGACTTCTGACCTCCAGAACTGAAAGAGAATACACTGGAGTTGCCCTGAGCCACTAAGTTTGTAGCCATGTGTTATAGCAGTAACACTAATACAGAAAACTAATACAGACAGGACCTGAGACTCCCCAAGTTCTGCAAACATGTCATCATAGCATCACCAGGCCACTGGTAAGTGTCCATGTATCACTGGGCCTGAGCAGGACTGTACAGCGAGTCATGCAGGCTTGGAGCCTACCCTCAGGCCACACACAGTTAACAAAGAGGGATGCTGAAGCTCCAGGGAGCCCAGGTCAGGCCTATCAGGATCTGATTGTCAAAGGGTGTCCCCATCACTGAGCAGTGCATGCCTGGGTGAAGCAGGGTAGCAAAATCTGGGCGGGAGCATTGGGAAGGAGGAACTGAATGCATGGTTGGGTCCAGAGCAAGAAAAATAACAGGCCACACAGCCCAGCCTTCAAATCGCAGAGAGAGAGAGAGAGAAACAGCAAATCAACAGTTGACTGCTATGNGAGAGAGAGAGAGAGAGAGAGAGAGAGAGAAACAGCAAATCAACAGTTGACTGCTATGGAGTTGCACACACCTTCCCTCCACCCCAAATAAACAGCGGCCACAGCCTAAAGGAGCAGACTTTGGACACTAGAGGACTTGCAGGAGGCACAAAATGAAGCTGCCTGGTGCATATGTAACAAGGGAAAGAACTTCAACTCCCCCATCGCGAGCCCCACGCCACCCCTTCTCCATGGCACACCCCCTGGCCCACTGTCGGCTGCACCGGCCCCGCTGGGAAGGTCCTGGGGACTTGGGGACAAAGCAGCAGGCCGAATGAGGCCGGGGGCTGGGCGGGCAGTCGGACCTGGAGGAGCCCCGCTCTGCCCAGGCACAGGGCTCTGCCTTAGGAGGACAAAAGAGTAAGTTTCTGTCTCGGGCTCGGAGTGACGCTCAGTGGCAAACACATGAAAAATGACAGCCTCCACAGGATGTAATATCAGTACATATTATCCTGCCATCTAAGCCTACGGTGACTCCTCACCTTCCGCCCAACTCAGCACATCCATCCCCATTGATAGCTCCACGGGACAGGTTACTTGGAAGTAATAAAGCGGTCATTTCTCATTAAATGCTCAATGATAGGGTTTTTGCTGTGGGTCACTTCTCACAACCATCTTATTTGACCTGAGTTTCTGGGGTGGGACTGAGGCCAAAGAAGGAAATCAGGATGTCAAAAAAAGAAGGCTCAGATGTTTACCTTGTTACAGCAATGGAATTGGGAGTTTGTAAAAAACACCAAGTGCTATAAGGTCCTTTAGTCCATCGCCTGTTGCCAGGTAAAACTGGGCTTTAATACATCCATTTCCTTTACAAGTCTTCAGAGAAAGACTTCGTTAACTCTCTTGAGCAGTTAAATTAGCACCTCATTTCACCCCCTCAGCCATGGGCATGAAATTGCCCCCCTACACCTCCTACTGTAATTGAAGACTGAAGCCAGGAGCCTAAGATCTTTCTTCTAGGAGAATAAGAACAGTTCAGGGTCACTCCTCAAACTGGTGCAGGTCTCCCAGTTTAAGTGCAAAACAGAAAATCAGAAAGAAGAGACAAAGGTAGAGAGAGATTCAAAGGATAGGAAAAAGGCACCACGGAGGGGTTACCAAGCAGGCAACAAGTCAACATACAAGCACTTCTTGAGCACGTCCAGTGTGCCAGGCGCTTCACTAAATGCTCTGTGGAGGCTGTCTTCACCCAACCCCTGGGAGGTAGAAATGATAGTATCCCCCTTTCACAGAGGAGGATACTGAGACTCAGAGAGGTTCAGTTACATACCCAAATCATATTAGATCTCAAGTCTGACTCCCAAGTATATGATCTCTCTACACTACTGTGCTCCCAAAATCCTGCCTTAGACGATCTCACAGCTTTGCTGGGGAGATGAGGCCAAGACACATGAAAACGTGAAGATGCTCTCAGTCAGTGGTGAAGGAGATCAAAGGCGGAGAAGTCCCTGGAGCCCAGAGCAATGGGAAGTCTTCTGGAAAGAGTAGCCCACAAGGGCAGGTAAGCTTGGGACGGGCGGAAAGGAAGAGGGAGAACTCACATGACCTGAGATAAGGATGGGAGAGGATAGGCTGTATCCAGGGGAAAAAGAGGGCTCATCCCTGCCCCAGTGAATGGTGTAAAAGGCAACAGGCCCGGAAAATTAATTTGGGACCAAATTTTATAGGCCTGAATGTTGGTCTAAGGAACATGAACTCAGTCCCTTGGGAAACAGAGAATCCCAGAAAACTGTAGAGTGAAAGAGTNAGAATCCCAGAAAACTGCAGAGTGAAAGAGTGACTGCTCGCAAAAGGGAGGGGAAAGCCCCCTTCCCCCCCTCTCAGGGGACCATGTGCTGGCCTGGAGCGTCTCTTCATTTTGTTGAATGTTCCCTCCATTTCCAATTCAGGAACATTCTTCCTAAGGTCCTGTGTGTGAGGATTGCATTCAGCTGGGACAGAAGCCCAGCCACAGTGGCCCCACAGAACAAAGGCTTATGTTTCTCACGTGCTAAGAAGTCCCAGGTAAGGCAGCTCAAGACTGATGAAACTGCTCTAGGAAGTCATAGAGGACGCAGGCTGCTTTTGCTCTACCATCCTGAGCGCGCAGCTGCTATCTTCCTCGCCCTATGGCCTTCAGCCTCGTGATCTCCAGATGGCTGCTGCAGCCCCAGGCATCAGGTCCACAACTCTAAGTCAGTAGAGGGGGAAAAGAAAGGGGACCACCTTCTAAACACTTTTCAGGAAGACTCACCTAGAGACTTCCACGCACATCTCATTGCCCACACTGGTCACGTGGCTGCTCCTAGCTGCAGGGCATCTGAGATGGTAGGGGTGTTTTTGCTTGGACACTGTTACAGAATTGAACAAAATTGAGATTCTGGTAGTATGGGGGGAGGGAGGGGTGGATACCAAATAAGTGACTGTGTCTACGTACCCTGCTTTCTTTAGGCCCAGATCCCACTCCCTTCCCGAGCGCCGAGCCAGAGTCTGGTGGGGCTGAGACAACTGGGTGGAGCACAGCTGTAGCCAATCTGGGCCTGGCCCGCTTCTGTCTTAAGACCTCATTCACATACCACAGCAGGAAGGTCATGGTTTTCCCTGGATGTGTGACCAGAAGAGTCCTGCCTTCACCCTCCTGACCTCTTCCTGAGGCCCCTTGACCCCAGCCAGACAGACAGCAGCCGTGCCTGAGGACTTAGGAGGGCATGCTCCTCTGTGCTGGGTACCCTCAGCAAGGATGCAAGAGGCGGCAAGCTTGCTCCTAGATCCCTCTGCCTTCTGAGTCCCAGATCCCACAGGAAGAAGTGCTCCCGACAGCTCGACGGCTTGTCTGTCAGCCCCCTCACACCGAGCTCCTAAAGGCTGCGTGTGTAACAGAGCCGCACACTGCACTCAGCTTTCACCCAAACAGTCAAGCACTCAGAGCAAACTTTCAGGCAGGCTTAGGGAAAGATGGAAGCATCTTTCCTGCTCCCCAAATGGAATCACATGGACATCAAGGACAAGACTAGGGTCCTGGAGACTGCTGAGGTCCGCCCGAGGGGAGAGGGAGCAGGCTTGGTTCCAGAGGCCACGTCCCTGCTATGTATGTTTCTAATCCCACTTTAGCAGATGACTGACTGCAGCAAGTTGGTTAAGCTTTCTAGGCTTCCTTTGAGTGACCTCTAAGTTTTCTAGACTCTAACTCCGTTTTTTAAAAATTTAAAAGGAAGCAATGCCTAGGGTTGGATTTCATTGACTTGCGATGGTGTCCAGGGGTGTTGGTAGCCTTTAAAGTGCCCCATTGGTTGCACTGGGCAGCCACATTACAAAACCCAAATCCTTGCTACTCAACATGCGGTCTGAGGACCAGCTGCGTCCGCATTGCCTGGGGCATCTCAGAAAGTCTGGGAAGCCCTGGGCTCTAGGTGGTGTGACTCGGTTCTACCTATGCCTTGCTGTGAAGACATTGCTCTTGGCTCCAGGGTTCTGGGGGAGGGAGGCTACAGATGTGGAAGCAAGAAGAGAGGCTAACTGAGCTCGTCACCTCTGGAAGAACTATGGGAGCCTCCATCAGCATTGAATGCAGCCCAGAGTGGCAGTGTATTTGGCCTCCCTCTGTGCCTTCAGAGTCCTTGCTCTGGGCTTCTAAGGAACCAAACGATTTGTCCCAGCACTCCAGGACTCACCGGAAACTTCGGGAACCCCCCCGGGCCTGCCTGTGCCTCTGTCCCCTTTTTGATCCACTT